GTACCGAAGCAAAGAGCTTCACATCCCTGGAATAAGCTGCTGAGAAAGACCACACTCAGGGCAGATCTGCTGGGATGGAAAAACTGCATCCTGCTGTCTATGCTCCAGATAGGGCAACAGGGGAGCTGCTAAATACAGCCCCACTGTACAGAGTGGCCCAAAGCGGAACTATTCAAGGCCACAGGAGACACCCATTCTTAGCGTCCTACGCATAGCCAGGAATGGAGCACGCAACGAGAAGACAGGGAGCTGGTTCTGCAGTAGAAACCACAAATCAAGCATGTCGTCTGGAACTGCACAGCACCACCGAGTTGTGTTTAACGGGGATGCTGTGTCCCAAAGGAGCTGGGGTCATTTGCCCACAAAGAGGCATCAGGTGTCATTTAAGAGATCAGAGTGTCCGAGACATCTGTCATATGGGCTAGCAGATATGACACCAGACCTATGAATGACCTGCATCCATCAGGAGGTAGAGGCCATGTGGGATATCCTGACACCTCTCAAATGACTCGAGATGCCTTTGTGGGGGCAGCTGAATTGCAGCCCAGATCTGCACCTCCTGTAATAAAAGCACAGATTGCAGAAACCTCAGTACTGAGCTTTTCTGATTCTGTGCTGAGTCCCACAGCAGGAGTCCTAATGGCGTAGACAAAGAATCCCTTGGCACCAGGAAACACCGTGCATAAGAGTGCACCCAACTGTCCATTTCCTTTCCTCTTATGACTGTAAATACCTCTGACTTCTGCAAGAGCTCAGCGTGCTAGCAACAGGTCACAGGCCCTAGCTGCAATCCTCAGCCAAAAGTAATAAAAGATAGGAATGTCCACGCTGGCCCAGGCTGAGGGTCCCTCTAGACTAGCATCCTGCCTCCAGCAGTGGTCAAGAACTGATGCCTAAGGGAGAACGTAAGAATAAAGTAAGTGTACAGTGATATCTTCCTAAAATAATCTATCTTTTAGGTATAATCTACAATCTATTTTTATAATCTATCTTTAGGACAATTTGCAGTTCAGGAATTTCCTGAGTCAAAGGTGATATTTTTGTGTTGAATAGCCCTCAGTGAGTCTCCAAGAATTTATCCGTCTCCTTTTATCAGTGTGACCCACCACCGGGCTAAACTCATGACTTTTCTGAAGCCCAGGTTCCTCCCACTCATTCTGCTGTTGTCTACTCAGGCTCTGGCAAAGACCAGCCACCACATTCCCTTCCAGTGGGACAGCTCCTGAATTCAGGGCCAGAAGCAGCTGAGGTGATACCCAACGTTTCTGTGAAGCATCAGCTCTCTTGCACAGCTGGAAGCTTCTGCTATTTGTTATGAACCTCAGATCAGTGGATCACGAAACACACTGATTATTTTTTTTGTCTTTCCCAAAACTGAGTCTTCAGAGTGTGTTCTTGAGTAGGAAGAAACGCAGGAGTATGGGAAAGTCCTCTGTTGCTTCTTGGTCAGGCTCTCTACATAGATGAATTTCTGCATCTTCACTTATCTCCATGAGTAACAGGAAATGAGATTTATTATTTCTTCACCACTAACCCGGTAAGCTATACTATACAATGCAGGACTTCAGTGGAATCCCTGGCTTTGGAAATCCTTCAGCAATGAATTTCCCCTTCTGATGACCGCTGGCTGCCCTCTGAATTTCTGTGATTGTGAAGAATACGAAGAGTCTTTAAAGAGCAAGTTATCAAAACAGCACTGGGACCTGGGACTGCTTCTTGCTGACCTTATCTCAACTTTCTTCAGTTTGCAAGGAAATTATTTTTCCCTCCCATGTTCCACACATCCCTCATGTCTCCCTGCAAGTATCTTGCTACCACTCTAGACCCACACACTGGAATTTTCACACTGCCCAGCATCGGTGCAAGCTGCCTCCTGGCTGCCCTGGCCCAAAGCATCCTTTGACACGCAGAAACTTTATTATTGAAGGTGTGGGGTAAAGACGGGGTCCAGAGAACCTCGCAGCGCTTACGGTTAGCAGAAATACAGTGTCCTTCTCCGTTCCCTCCTGGCAGCTACGCGAGGCTCCTGCGAGAACACGGAGGAGGCCTGCCCAGGCTCTGGGAAGGGCCGTCCGGCTTGTGTGGAGTTTTTTCTTAGCATCGAGCAGCAAAGACCAACACAAACAGCACCCCCCGCCTGCCCGCAGCAAGGGAGCAGCGAGCGCAGCCGG